TTATCAGTAATTTAATTTTAAACAACAACAATTAATTATTATATAATTAAATAGTTATATTAATTAAATCTGTTATTTACTATCCGCTATCTACTTTCTGCTATTTTTTACATGTTTTTTGCTATCCGCTACCTGCCTTCTACTATCCGCTACTCGCTTTCTACTATCTGTTACCTATTTTTTACCATCTACCACTCGTTATCTGCTAATTATTATCTGTTACAGCTACTGCTCTCCATTATTCACTATCCACTACCCACTATATATCTACTAAATTTTAACTGTTGTACCAAACAAACCAAATGGAATTTTCATTGTACAAAATCATAACTAATTTGTAAGTAAAATTGTGTGTGAGAGATTTTTCACCTTAATGAACTACTATAATCTTCTAAAAAGCTCATTATCATCAATGACTGTAGGGCATCACTTGATTAAAATTTCTTTATTATTATTATTATTATTATTATTATTATTATTATTAATTTAGTTCTGGAGTTCAAAGTTAATGGGCAATTTTCTTCTTGAGCTCCAGTCTAGCCCAAACTTCTTTAAATGGATAAAATGAAAGAGAATTATGCCACTTCTAAATGGGCTTCGTTGGCTTCGGACAGGAAAAAGGGCAATCTATTCAGGCCTAGAAATTCACGTGTTCTTTCTTGGCAAAAGGTGCAGATCACCCCCTCAACTCAACCACTGGTGGCAAATCACCCCCTCAACTCACTTCACACGCAAATCACCCCCTCAACCCACCTACGGTGGCAAACCACCCCCTTTATTAACACCGGCACCATCCTTCCGTTAGCTTTTAACAGTTCGCTCATAAGCCTTTCCTCCGTCGATGTCGTCGAGTACCACTGACCCAGAAGTCATCTTCAAGCTGGCTCTCCGCGTGGTCTGTGTCTCCTGGCAATATGCCGCTCAATTACTCTATTTACGCTATCCCAGACTCAAATCCAACGCTCTATTAGTATTGCTTCCGTTGGAGAATCAAACAGGCTGGCAATGCTGTCGGATCTACAACTATTGCTCCCACAAAATCCACAGGATTTTTCTACCACAACTCCAGGGAGGATGGTATACTGCATCCTCTCATGGCTGGCTTCTCACCGTTGCCAATCAAGCCATTCATCTTTTAAATCCCATCACTAGCGCCATCGTTAAGCTTCCTCTTGAGAAACGATTCAGGAGGCCGGAAATCTACCGGATGAGTTCCAAGAAGCCGGAGTTTACGAGGGTGATCACCTCCACCATTCCGACGGATCCTCTCTAAAGTCCTAGCCATCCATCCCGGTAAACACGAACAAAGTTTTTCCTTTTGCAGAACAGGGGATCATGCATGGATCAGAATAAACAACTTCGTGGGACGGTGTTCCGATGCAATATTCTACAAGGGTGACTTCTACGCCATTGATTTTTACGGTTACATCTGGGTTATTCAACCTACCGTCAACAACTTTCAGAAAGCAATGAAACTGAGTGTAGAACTAGTCAAAGAGGGATGCCAATGCTATTACTTGGTGGAGGTGAAGGGTGATCTGTTGATGGGGGTGAAGAAACAATGTTTACTTAGTGCTTGTTATATTTACCGAATGGACTGGGAGAAGAAATCATGGGTTCGGATGAAAGCTAACGGAAGGATGGTGCCGGTGTTAACAGAGGGGGTGATTTGCCACTGCAGGTGAGTTGAGGGGGTGATTTGCGCGTGAAGTGGGTTGAGGGGGTGATTTGCCACCAATTGTTGAGTTGAGGGGGTGATCTGCACCTTTTGCCTTCTTTCTTTTCTTTTCTTTTTTTCTTTTTTTTTTTAATACAAAATCTACGCGGGAGTTGTGGGACTCACAACAACTAGCGAATGTGCTGTGAAATGAAACACAAAACGTCTCTTCATGTTGTATAATAAGATATAATATTAAATAAATATATAATAGAGTTATATAATAAGATGTAATATTAAATAAATATATAATAAAAAATAATATTTATTCACTTTATTTTAAAAAAATTAAGAGAAAAAAATAAAAAAAATCATAATTCCTACTTTAAAAATATAATATTTTAAACTTGTTCAATAAGTGTTTATTAAAATGATATAATTTTGAAATTATATTTTTTTTAATTTTTAAGAGGAAAGGTAAATAAGTATTATTTTTTATATAATATTATAATCAAATTTTTGAGAGAAAATTAATTATGTAGTGTTTTGTGAAAAATAATGTTTTTGTATATATTTCATAAAGAATGCAATAAGTGAAATGATTTTTCTTATATTTAACTCATAAGTTTCTTATTTTTATATTCGATGTGAGATTTTTTCATTTAATACGCCCTCTCATGTGCAGATTTGTTATGAATGTCAGGTCTTACCACGTGGGATAACACATCTTTTTAAATGCAGGTCTAATATTTTCAATTTCAAAACCTATTAAGTGAGTTAACAATGAATTTTTTTAAACAAGATCTAAATTTTGATACTATATAAAAAATAATGTTTTTTAATATATTTCATAAAGAATTGAGAGTACTTATATGGCTATATATATACAATGCTAGACAAGCTAACTAAGGCAAAAAAACTCTACCAACCGGTCTTATGGGTCACGCGCCTCATTGAGGGAGATGGAATGTTCATCAGGTCTGTGATCGAATCCCAATTGCTAATATCTAACAAAATTAACTTATTAATTATTGTCTTTTGTCAAAAAAAAAAAAAAAAAAGGAAGAAAGAAGTAAGGCAAAAGATCTCCAGCTAACGGTATAGAATTGAATAAGGAAACAACTAGGAAATAAATGTGCCTAACGATTAGCTGTTAGCTAGTGACTGATTTTGTGCTGTAATGGAGATTCTATACTAGTCTCTAACATGTTGCAGAAAGCACATCTAAACTGTACCAACCGAAAACATGCCTAAACAAAATGTCTAAGCACTACTTAGGAGCTAAAGTGGTGCTTTGTTACTTGGCCTAGATCATAGGTAGTGATGATAATGACTTCTTGCGGAGCTGGGGATCCCCTTGTCATCTTTGTTCCCACTAAAGACGTGTACGAAGGTCTCCGCAAGAATTTTTGATAGAAGCAAAAATTGTCAGAGGGCATGAGGGGACACAGGTATGGGGAATTCTTGTAAAAGTAAATTAAATGTTTTCGTTTAAAATTTAAATTAATGAGAGATAGGTTTTTGTAAATTAGACATTTTTAATCACCTAAGTAGGAAATAAATAATTAAATTGAAATGACATGTAAAATTATTTTTATGAAGTTATTACTTTATAAATTTAATAAAAGATGAATAGAAGTAGAGAAATAACATATTAAAGATTAATAAAATTAAAACTAGACTAAATCTCTATTAATTTACTTTAAATTTCTTCTCACGTATAAAAATACCATGTGAAAATTTTTTTTTTATTCTTGAAAGGAACTAGACTTGATATTTCATTTTTCTTTGTGTGGAAAAACTTGATACTTCATTAACATTCAAAAAACTTATTTTAGAATATCTAAAATATTCCAGTACTATTTTAATTTTAAAAATTAAAAGTACTTATTAAAAAAAATTAAACTAATCCAAACTCCACACTAAAGGTTAATATTTTTTAGAGTGCATCCCATTACTATTGGCAATGTAATTAATTAAATGACATTAATATTATTTGAATAATTAAATTTATTAGTATATATATTTTTAAGATGTTGGTTGCATAACAAGAAACAATTTTCTCTCATCCCTTATCTCACTCCACTCGCATGCCATGCGATTTGAATTTAAAATTTCTTACTTTGAATGGAAGGAGATTATCATTAAATTACTTAAATAGTTGGTAATTTATTAGTATATTTAATAAATATATAAATTTATAGTTATATATATATATATATATGGATCTCCCTAAGTCCCCATAGGGTGAAAAAGATTTATGAGAAAAAAATTACCTCCATCCAGATCCCACATATAAAAATGTTTTGGACACCTCAGTTCTTAAATTGGGGATCTCCATGGGGCGCGAACAAATTGTCATCTCTAACCATAAGTGGTGAATCTAAGTGTTTATTTTATGTTTTTAGGTTTTCTAATTTATTTTAACACTTTTTTCAAAAATAGTAGAGTGCTTAAAGTGTTTAGAGAGCACCTACAACCAACATCACCTAACACATTTTACAACTTTGGTAATATATATAATGTCATAAGTTACATCATTTTTTTTTATCTTGATTACATAATAAGAGATAATAATTTTTTATCATTTATCTTATCTCACTCATATAATATGCGACTCGAATTTAAAATGTTTTACTTTTAACAAAAAAAAATTATCATTAAATTATTAGATTATTGACAGTTATATCATGTTATGTAGAACATTATATGAAAAAATGATTTAGGAAAGATTTATATATATAATTTTTTATTTTATTAAAATTTATATTATTATGTATATTAATTCCTTTAATAACATATATAAATTATAATTAAAAGTTTTATAAAAAAATTAGCTATGTATATCATAGCCCACCCACTCTCTAATAAACGTTGTATGTGTAAATTTTCCTCCTCAACTTCTCTTGCCCTTGAACTTAGCAACCAACAAAAACCATTTACCACATCTACCCAAAAAAAAAAAAAAAAACTCCATAACAAAGTCTTTAGTTCCAATTCTGAGCTGTCAGTTTTAGAGGGAGTTCGTGCAAATTTTAGAAACCGGGTGTTGAGCTTTGCGAAGATTAAATTGTCACTTATGCCGCGCAATATAACTACAAATTGGGGCTAAAAATATTATGTATAGATAGCACAAATAGTTATGTCTTTTGATTTTTACTTCATTTATTCCTTTGTTGGCATATTCCTTAAACATACTTTAACCAGTAGCCTTCTAACTTCTAGGTGTTACTTTTTATCATTGGTTTATAGGTAATAAAATTTATATTTTACCTAAAAAATATAAAGCTTATTTAACTTGTATTTTTAGAGTACAAATTAAATGTGTAATAAATATATATTTTAAATTAATTTACATAAAAAATTATAAAAATTAATATTTATTTTAACAATATTAATATGTGAATGATTTTAATTGATTAATTGATTAATTTAAAATCAACACTTACTACTTTCATGTAAATTAATTATAAAAAAAATACATTAATTACACCCCTTAACCTATACTTTAAGGACAAATTAAAAAAAAATCCAAAAACATACTCAATTTCTTGCTATCTCTATTTGTTAGCTTTGGAAGTTTGGAGGACATAAGTGAAAGTAATTACAAAGTTAGGGAACTGACTGGTGATTTTTAATTTTAACGAAGAAACGAAACACCGAGTAGAACAATAAACAGAACAGCCTTACGCCGGAGTGAACTGTCTACGTCAAACGAACGAATATGTTTGGCGCGGCTGCTTCCACCACTGTCGCCACCACCGCCGCCAATACTGCCCAAGCTGCGCGCGCTAGCCTACTCTGTGTCTTTCAAAGGAATACTCTTGCTTCCTCTTCTTCTTTCTATCAGCCGATTTCGTGTTTTCAGGTTCATTCTCGGTCGCTTCGCTCGAGCTGTGGTGGCCCTTTCAGAGCCATGGCTGACTCCCAAACCCTTTCTGTTCCAAGCAACGAGGCGCAATCGTCCTCTCCCGGTACTATTCTTGCTCCTCCACTCTCCAATCATATTCTTTAGTTACTGAATTGAGCTCTGCGGCGCCGGATTTATGAATTGTCTGTACTGCAAATAAAACTGAAAAAAAAGAAAAAAAAAAAAAAGATTCGATTTTTATAGTCCCATAGTAAACCCAAGATGGAGAAAGAAAATTTAGTATCCTTAATCAAAAGGGCTGCTAACAGATTTAACATTGATATAGGCCTTGGATGCTGACTCCGGAGACCAAACTAGCTTCATTTCTGCTCCTTGTGTTCTTCTGTTTTTGTAACATATATTTTTAAAAGCTACAGGCAACAAGCAGGCACTGATATATTCATGTTTTCTCTTTTCATTTAAGAAGGATTGTGTGCTCTGTATGATTGATGCTTTCTTCTATCAGGCAACAAGCAGGCACTCATATCTTTATCGGACAAGAAGGACCTGGCGTTTCTTGGTAATGGGCTTCAAGAATTGGGGTAAATTGTTTGAGCCATTCTTCGCTTTTTTTTTTTCTTCTGATTTTCATGATTTTATAACATTCACGATGTTGCTAATTGTCTTTTGTTTCTTGGGAAAATTGAGTATTGACTTTGCTCCTGTTACAAATGTGATTTTTTGGTTTAATTCGGTTCCCTAATGGCAACCAGGTATACATACAAACCAACATCACTATTGCAACGTTTATTGGTCAATCTATCCATATTATCCAATAATGTCTGTCTTTAGCTATTATCATCTCTTTTCTTTCTATAAAAAAGAATATTATCTCTTCTCTATGTTGGCTGGCTAGACTTCAACATGTCAATTACACCATGAGAGCCCCACCCACCACGCCCCCCCCCTTTTTTTAGAATTGGACTTGTTTCATGTCTCTAGTGTGCAGCAGTATTTCTGAAAGCCTATTTGATTAAAATGTTATCTTATGCATGCTGTAGATATACAATTGTTTCAACTGGAGGAACTGCTTCTGCCTTAGAAAATACTGGTGTCTCCGTAACTAAAGTGGAACAGCTTACATGCTTCCCAGAAATGGTAATCTGATTCTTATGTTGGAGATATTTCTCAAGTTGTCTTTTCCATTTTCTTTCTTATTTCCGTCTGTCTATGGACATGGTCACTTGGATTTATTTATAGGAGATACTAAATAAGTTTTAAGTGATTACCACATTCTGGCAACAAAAATTATGACTTACATGTTGCATCTTTAGCTTGATGGTTAACTGCTTAGATTTTAAAATTTGTCGGTGGACAACAATGTGAGCTTTGCAACTTTTTTTTTTTTAATTCTTTTTTACTCCTTTCCCCCACCTTCTACCCAAAAAACTGACAGATTAATTTATCAAGCATGGATGGTAATAGAAAAAAAAAAAAAAAAATCCCTAATGGTCTTTGCAGCTTGATGGTCGTGTGAAAACCTTACATCCCAATATACATGGGGGTATTCTTGCTAGAAGAGACCAAAAGCATCACATGGAAGCTCTTAACAAACATGGAATTGGTGAGTTCTTAACTTTCTAACAAAGTCTTGTAAAATTCATACATAGCATGCTTGTCTTTTATTCTTGTTTTGCAAACTGACATGCAAAAAAACTGTGCTCTTGTGTTCCTCTCTTTTGTTTTTCTGATAAATGGTCTTTCAGGTACATTTGATGTGGTGGTGGTGAACTTGTACCCTTTTTATGATAAGGTTACTTCCACTGAGGGAATCAGTTTTGAGGATGGAATTGAGAATATTGACATTGGTGGCCCTGCCATGATTAGAGCTGCTGCAAAGGTAGGTCAAGGCAGGGTGTTTGGTTTTGGATATGTTTAGTGAATTTTTAAATTTTGTTTCACATTCCATCTAACATATTCATATCAAACAGAATCACAAGGATGTCTTGATTGTTGTTGATTCACAAGACTATCCTGCACTTCTAGAGTTTCTAAAAGGAAATCACAATGATCAACAGTTCCGTATAAAGCTTGCTTGGAAGGCTTTTCAGCATGTTGCTTCTTACGATTCTGCAGTTTCAGAGTGGCTATGGAAACAGACTGTTGGAGGTACCATTTTGCCCCTTATGTTTCTGGTAATACACTTTCTGGATTTATAACTTTTGAAACTAAAAGAGAGGGATAACTTAATAATTCGATCACCTGACCAAGCCTCAAAAGGGGGGTGAGGGGGAATGAAACAGGAAAAGCAGAAAAATCAAGAAAGCAGTACTAAAACTTGATGTATTCCCTTTCCTTATGTTCCCTATCATTATTGAGTATGAAAATTGACAAGATTCTTTAATTCTTTGAAGATAAATTCCCTCCCAGTTTAACAGTGCCAATTTCTCTCAAAAGTTTGCTTCGCTATGGAGAAAATCCTCATCAGAAGGCTGCATTTTTTATTGACAAAAGCCTTTCTGAGGTCAATGCTGGTGGCATTGCAACAGCTATTCAACACCATGGGAAGGTGGGAGAGATGATGTTTGGGATCTTTACTGTTTTCCTCACATGCTGAAGGATATTAATTCAATTACTGTTTTCCATCAAAAGAAAATTAATTTCTTTTGTGTTTCTTGTTGATTTGAGGATTTTGGAATAACATAGGATGGATAAAACTTATAGCAAATTTTATTAATTTTTCTTTTTCTTTTTATTTCTATTTCTCCTGTTTGATATTAGCCATCTATTTCATTCCAACACTCATGCTTACTTTTTTTAATTCATGGTGCAGGAGATGTCATATAATAACTATCTAGATGCAGATGCTGCTTGGAATTGTGTGTCAGAGTTTAAGAACCCTACATGTGTGATTGTAAAGCACACAAATCCCTGTGGGGTAGCCTCACGTGATGATATCCTTGAAGCATATAGGCTAGCTGTGAAAGCAGATCCAGTGAGTGCGTTTGGAGGAATTGTGGCCTTCAACACAGAAGTTGATGAGGTAAATGTATCTAGATACCCTGTTTCTGTATAAATTATTTTTTATAATGAAGTTTAAATTTTCTGCATATGGTGTGCACCTTTTGGACAAAATAATATGATGGCTGTAACCTACATCAACACAATAGATTAATCTTCAAAGACAATGTTGCATACTATAATAATCTTGCAAGTTTGGTGTGTCTTAGTAGGTTGGTGGTGGGTCTTCCCATCTTAAATAAACTTAAATATGGAATTAAGCCTGCATCTTCAGTTAGTTGCATTGTCTGGAATCCTTTCTTCTTTTGGAGGTCAAAATCTTGTGTTGTTGTTAATGAAGAAAAATGATTAGAAAATTGAAGAATTGGAAGCCATAACATTTGATGCTTCACACAGTGATAAGTTGAAATTGTTATAGGTTCTTAGAATGCCAATTCACTTGTATATAAGTCATAAGGATAAAGGGTAATGTTACAGTTGATAAACCATAATTGATGGGTATGCTGCATCTCATTGTATTTTTTATCCCAAAAAAGACAGAAGGGACCTCCTCATATATATTTTGAGCATTTAGTTTGTTGTTTTTTCAGGCTCTTGCTAAGGAAATTCGAGAGTTTAGAAGCCCAACAGATGGTGAAACTCGGATGTTTTATGAGATAGTTGTGGCTCCAAGTTACACAAAGAAGGGCCTTGAGGTTCTCTGCGGAAAATCAAAGACATTGAGGATCCTTGAGGCAAAAATGAATGAGAAAGGAAAGCTCTCTCTTAGACAAGTTGGTGGTGGGTGGTTGGCTCAGGATTCAGATGACTTAGTCCCTGAAGATATCCAGTTCAAGGTAGTGTCTGAGAAGAATCCACCAGAAAGTGAGCTTCGTGATGCGGAATTTGCTTGGCTGTGTGTAAAGCATGTTAAGAGCAACGCAATTGTAATTGCAAAGGTTGGTATCTATCTATTGACAGGAATACCATATCATAGATTCTGTTTAAATTAACTAGTTGGTGCAATTTTGTTTGATTTAATATGTAACTTCCAACCCAAAAGAAAAGAAATTTCTGATCTTTGATTTTGTTTGGCTAGAACAATTGTATGCTGGGTATGGGAAGTGGGCAGCCAAACCGTTTGGAGAGTTTGAGAATAGCTTTGAGGAAAGCAGGTGATGAGGTCAAAGGAGCTGCTTTGGCTAGTGACGCATTCTTCCCATTCGGTAAATACAAACTTATTAAGTTGCTGCAGTTATTGTATTATTGATATGATATTCTGAATTTATCCTAAAATTAAATTAAATACACACACTATAATAGAACAAGAATGATTGCCCCACAACTTGTTATAGACTGAATATGATATCCATTTATTAACATGTACAAACATGTTTTTATTAACAGCTTGGAAAGATGCTGTGGAAGAAGCCTGTGAAAGTGGGATTGGAGTTATCACAGAGCCTGGTGGGAGCATTAGAGATAATGATGCTATAGACTGTTGTAACAAGTATGGAGTCTCCCTGCTTTTCACTAATGTGAGGCACTTTAGGCACTGACGCTTTTATTTCTTTTTCCCTTTAAGGGCTCAACCTGTGCTCCTATGAGACATGAAAGTTTTGATACCTCATAATAATGTTATCTTCGGATATTCCTCTAAAAGAGGTTGCAGAAGGATGTGTATGCCATGAATGCCTAAATGCCTAGGAATTTTTGAGATTGTTCTTGAATAAGAGAGATGATATTTATACCTTATTCGTCTTTGAACAACTTAATTTTGCACTTGATTTTTGCTCGTGGTTTCCTTCCTAATTGATGTGAAAAAAATATGCTATATAGGATATCTTTTTGTTGCGTGAGCATATGACTGGATGATTAATTTTTGTTAGATTGATCTGAGTTGCACCAATTCCTTAATATCAATGATTCATTATTTTGGATTCTTCTGCTCAAACATGACAAAAGCATGCACCTACAGCTTTGGCTGCATTGGTTCAGATACATTAAACTCTTGGTAAATGTCAGAGTTGTAACCACTGTACTAGTAGCTTTTCTATTCTCTTTTTCCTCAATTGCCCTTGTTCAAAAAAAAAAAAAAAAAGACAAAAGCATATCTATTGTTGTGGGATTAACATGGAGCACCATGATCAAAATTTATAGAATATAAGCTCCCTAGTGGTGAATTTTGGAGAGATTATTAAATCAACAATCATGATCTAGTAGAATACAATGGATGGATCTGGAATGCACTGCGATAACATTACACAATTTCTTAGGCGCAAATCAGGAAAAAGAAAATATTCATTCAAAGTGAATCATAGGTTCCATACAACCCACACCTTCCTCAGGGCTGCAGCAGCAGATGCAGAATTGGGAACATCATGGGAAAAAAAAAAGTGCCAAAACAAACAATATACCATTTTATTAAGACACCAGGTTTGGCCAATAGATCAACAACGCCATCTGCTTCCCTCAAGTTTGCAGGTAAGAATACTGAGTTATTGCAAAAGTTTGAACCCTTGACCTTGAACCTAGAATCAAGATTTTATAGTTAATAGATATCAACTCGACTAAACCATAATTGGTCCTCTTAGACGACAAATGACCTTAACACCCTAAAAACTGCTGTGATAGTAAACTGCAGGCACCCAATTCCACCTTCATTCATCGGGAAGCAACTTACAATTTGGGCACCCAATTCAGGTATGCAACCAACGTACACATTCAAGGCAGTACCCATTTTGAGATGTCTCAGTCTCCCAGTTTTATCAGACATGCCGATTGAAAATTTTTAAACAAATTTATAATGTTGCAATTACTTGGAGTCATAACTATCTCGTCTTGCTCCTTTTCAATGCCTATTTTTCTTTTAAAATTACTATATTGTCAACCTGGATCACAAGAAATCTTCTTACAGTACCATAAAATGCTACCTTCTTATTTCATCCATCTCAACAAAATTCCTTTTGACAAGATAAAGAGCTCCAGTTTCATAACTAGTCAGATAACAGTCTCTTTTAGTCTGTTTATGTCTTTCTGAGCTTCCCAAAGCTCAAATCTCATCACCGACTACTCACCCGAAAAAGTGCATGAAATTACTAGAGAACCTATGCGGCGAAAGATCAACGATAGAAGTGAAATTTACAGTTCTCCATGGCTAACAAATATGGGGCGAAATTGAATAGGACTATAATAGTGGTTTAACATGAGTAGTCCTTAGTCCATACAGAAGATGCAAGAGGCAAGCAACCACAGAAAATGAATTAGGCAGCATAATCTAACCATGTTTCATTATTCCTTTCAAAACTGAGCAACAACCGAAGTACGGAAAAAATAACAATCAATACCATAGGTATTCCACAAACTGTGCCATCTTGAAGGATGCTCATAGAAGCTGGGACACCACCAAAATATGAGCTCAGAGATCATAAGGGTGAAAGAGAAACCACTAGCCTGCAAACATGGTTACCAAAAATTTGCAATTTTTTTTTTTTTTTGTCCAAATGGATCTGCAAAGTTGAAACATTTGAACAGAACTACATCCAGAAAATTCTAAGGTACAATCACCTGATAACTCTACTATCTATTCCAATACAACCTTTGCCCCAAGTGCTTTCATCTTCTCAATTATCTGTTCTCCTTCTTCCTTGGAAACTCCTTTTTTCAACACAGCAGGTGTCTTTTCCACCAAATCCTTAGCTTCCTTGAGACCCAAATCAGTAAAAGATCTAACCTCCTTGATGATTTTGATCTTTGCAGTGGCTTCATATGATTCCAATTTCAATTCAAAAACAGTCTTCTCTGGCTTCGCTTCCTCCTTAGCTGCTGCGGCCGATGCCTTCACCGCCATTCCAGCCAATCCAGCAGCACCAGCCTTCATTACCCCCACCGTCGGCGGCTCCGTCATTCCCCGCTTCTTCATTATAATAGAACCCAGTTCCGCAATTTCAGCCAAAGTGAGCCCTGATATTTCATCTACCAGCCGCCAAACACGCTCAGTCGGAGGACTTCGGTGCTCTGTCGGATCGAAATTCGCTGGATCATAATCCGCCGGAAGCCTCCTCGGATCAATCTTCACTTCCTCCTCATCCTCCTCCTCTTTCCTTGCCGGCTGACTAAAATTTCTCGATTGCCCATTAGGATTCAAAGCATTAAGAGCTACAAGATGGGATTTTTTGCACAACCCATTTGGTAAATGGTGCTTAAATCTTAAAAGCAAGCTCATTTCTGAAATTTAGCTCCTCCTACTGATGGTATGAGCTCGAAAATGGCGAAGGCACAGTATAAACCCTATGACCACGGAAGGGTTTTCGCCTTACAGAGACGCAGTGGTTCGGGTTTTGGGCCATTCTAGGCCGTTTCTTCGGTTAAGTCTACTGGGCCAGGTCGGTAACGTTTAGTCTATTAACTATTAGTCTGTTATCACTTGAGTCTAGAATGTTTTTTTCTCTTCCAAATTGGTCTAAAAACTTCAAGAAACTTATCAAAATAGTCTATCAGTCAATATTTCCGTTATAGTTTTCCTAATAAAACTGGTGTTTTGTAGTGAAGATTGCAAAAACACCTTTTTATTTTGTAACACCCCGACGTGTTTCAAGAAAAGTACATTATAACCTTCACTCAACCTCAAATTCAATTTCTTAACCTTCTTCTTATTTTATAACAATTGATAATATCTATTTCAATCTTTAAGTTACTTTTTCTTTCATCATTAATATGTTTTCTTAGGCTTGATGACATCTATGTGGTGCCCTGTAGGCTCTCATGTGGAATTTCATTAGAAAATCTTTTAGAAGTTTTGAGGATAGACCATTTTAATATTTTTTAAAAGTTTTTAAACTATATTCTTAGAAAAAAAATTTTATAAATCAAAGTGAAAATACACAAATAGCTATACTTAAAATTTGTTCGAGTAGAAAACTGAGTCAGACATCATGGCGTAATATACTGGTTTTTGCAGCAACAATTAGCTGGCGTGGATTCTTGAACAACCACTGGAATTGTCATCTCCATTCAGATAATTGTAAGCATGTTGCAATTATAGTTTTCTATGAAATGATACCTTTGTGTAATTCTTGATTGTAGCATGCATTCTTTCCTGTGCATACATTTAAGAGTTTCCTAGTTGAATTTAATAATTTATTTTGATACATTTTTGCTTTTATGAAGTACACACCTCATGATGGCAATGGCTTATTATATTGTTCAAGGGAATTTTGAAGATAATAAATAATAATAGGGAGAAATGATTAACAAGATTTGGGGAAATATATTGAATAGAATCGTTCCAATTTTCAGGAATAGAAAGGGAAAAAGTGAAGAAAATGCTTACAACACTCGGAAAACCTTTTATTCAGGTATTAGCATCTAACGCATCTAACCTAACCATCCACCTTCATACATCATGGCGTAATATATATTGATGGCCTTGATCCACCCTAGTTATCACCTAAAATTGTCGATCACGCCCAGCCTAGAATGAAATTTCACAGGGGGCGTGAAACGTTCTTCCTCGGCAAATGGCTTCTAGGTTTTCCCCAGCATAAGAACATAGTGGTGATACCTCAACACCTGGATTCACCAGCAAGGATGCTAAGGACAATTGAATAACATAAAAGAGTATGATATGCTATAAACCAACGCTATGTACCAAATAGATAAACCAATGTTGTTGAAATGAGATTCACCATCCATGTCTAAAAAAAAAAAAAAAAAAAAGGGAGATACACCACAAAGGAGAGCAAGGATAAACGGTAGCAACTACAATGAAATTACCTGTTGCGTATAATGGCACTGAATGTGTTAAGAAGCCACCTGCAGCTACTACCCAACGACTGTGCAGTCGGAGCACAAGTAACCTAGCACTATCTGGAGTGTCATAATTTGATCCGTTGGCATTTTTCACAGGTGCAAACTCTTCGTCTCTAAGTACCTGAATAAAAAGAAACAATTTTTCAGTACGTAGTCATCACCAATCCTTTGCAACAAAAATAAGAAGAGGCATTACTATGACTTGGAGTGGGACTAAAGAGATGAGAAGGGAGATCACCTCAAAGAGTGCAGTTGAAGGGGCATATGGAAATGCATCAAAAATGAACTGCTCTAGTTTCAAACCCATTGTATATCCATGAACTGAAGGAATTTTTTTCTCAGCAAGATGGTAACTGCACGTACAGCACATTCAAATGTTAGCATTCTGTTATGTGACATACATAGCACAACAGATTGAAAAAAAGGTGCTCCAGAATAGGGCATAAAATATGAAACTAAATACGAGTTATGATTATTTTACGGGAAAAGAAAGTTGGCAACACTAACATGCTGTCTTTTTCAAGGCCACTTGCCACTTGGTTTAGGAAATCAAGAGTAAACATATGCAAGCACACCTGAAAAGCAGAAAGTAGCAGAGATCAGATAGATGAATTAACTTAATAGAGAAAACAAGAAAAAAAAAAAAAAAGAAGCACTGGATTAAGTAAAATGCAAGCAACAGGGTGCATGAAAAAGGAATTTACATTACTCCAGCAAAACTGAAGACGTCCAGTTTGTTGATTAATTGCTGAAGCCAGTGTAGGATCCAATTCACTGTATTCAACAACAGTGAGTGGTCCACCTTTACCTCGCCTTACAAAAACACCAACTTTTTCTTGAGGGTATGCCTGTAACCAAGTTACTAAAAGGAATTAAAGTCATGATTTCTCCTTATGTTTGATAAAGTAATTACCAGTCCTCAAGTCAAACATAAAGAAAAGAAAAGCATAAAACTTGACCTTCTTCATGTAAAATTTAACACCAGAAAACAAAATTTCTAAAACAGAAAGCAGAGAAAAGATTAAAAAAAAAAAAAGAAGCTAAAAATGTACAATATACAAGTATTAAATCTGATGCAAACTACACAGTGTTCTAAACTGTTGCAAGTTACAACATTGCGGATTTGCCATCCAAGAAAATATCTATCACATAAATAATATAATCAAAGGAGATAAATAAGCCAGTGAATATTGATCTCTCAGATAAGCATGACTGTATACACAAGATATTAAATACCTTTCGAACAACTTTTGCAGCAGCAGCTACAGCTTTGTCAATAAAATATCCCAAGAAAGTTGGATCAGCTACACGAACCTGCTTTTAAGACCCCTAATCACCGCCTCTCCAAAGAAGAAATTTTAAAGATGGCTTCAATGCAAAATGAAAGTAAAAGAAAACGAGAAAACTCACCAATGCATTGTCAACACCATAGCAATCAATATATTTAATTCCTCTTGTGGCCATATCTTCTAACAGTCTTGAATATTTAAGAGCTGATCAACAATTAGGGATCAAAATAAAGCAAGACAATAAGGGGAAACCAGGACATGTAATTCAGCAGCAGAGATCAAAATGTTGCTCTCTTTTTCTTAAATTTTTCAAAGGAGCAGGGATGGTGGGGGATTGAGGATACCTGAATATACTCCTCCATTCCCATCTGGAGCCTTAGCTACCTGAATTTAGAAAGGTACACATTAATAACTATAGTGCGGAATAGATTGAATACTTAGAGAAGGAAGCAAAGCATTTAAATAAGAATAATGTGTATCACAAAAATAAGCCATACTCTGAATGGAGTCTCCATTATAAATCTACCATCCTTTGAGATACAAGGGATTGTGCCCTGCTGGAAGAAAGTAATCTGCACCAAACATACTCTTCAGAGTCAGCATAAAGCAACAGAAGATAAATTACAGCAAAGCCAGAAAATTAGAAACCATCCTACCTGATCCGCTTCAAGACCAAAATATCTATGACTCTCAAAGAATTTGCGGGTAACATCATCCGTAAAAGGACTAGTCATTATATACCAGTGTATTTGCACTGACCCACCACCTGCAGATAACAAGATATCAGGATAGCCCAAAAGAGAATTGGAACATAAAGAATCTCAGGAGTCAGGTTTACCCTCATTCATAGCTTGAGCAGCTAGTCTTTGAACACACAAAATTCGCTCAGCTTGAAGTTGAAAAAGTGATTTCCCAGATGGAAGTCCAATATCTAAAAGAACAAAGCAGACATAAACAACAGAAACATTTCGCATAACAGTGAACATAGTTAGTTAAAAAAACAAAATTGCTAGGTTTATTCAAATATGTAAGAAAATGAATCAATTCCACCTTAAAAGCATGACTGTTAACAACTTCAAATTAGAGATATTCAAATATTTATGAAAATGAACCATGCACATATGGAAAAACAAAATAAGAGGATGTTCCCTTTGCTCCAGTAAATCATTTCAAATTAGAGATTAAAAGGAAAAAAGAAGCTATTATAGGTTCCCTGCAGAAAGCCAGTTTAAAAGGTTTACAAAATCATTATTTCCCTCACCATCAGTTTCTTCAATCAGTGTTCTTGTCTTAAGTGCTTTATTTTCTTGAGATGCTTACGACTTTGGTACCCTAGCCTAGATAGAGTGTACTAGTTTATCCTTATCCACAAGCATGTTCGGCAATCAATAAAGGATAATATTTTGAATTTTTGGACATCTCCTGAGTATGTCCACTTGACCAGCACTAAATTATAGCATAATCCAAGTAAAATCAAACAGCAGCATAAAGTTTTTAAAAAATTGTCTCCATGTGACTAGGCACTTACTAGAACAGCCCTTTGGATCTGAACTTCCAAGCCTAGTTCCCTGCATAATGTTTCAATGACAGGGTGATCACATGAAAAAATAAGTGAAAGATATACTGAAAAAGGGATAAAGTATTTAAAGCTTTCAACTTATAAGATATAAAAGAATCCTTATGAAAAAAACTACTTCTCATTGATCCAAGTAAGAAGTGGTTAAGGTCTATCCCTCCTCCCACATTGTTTTGGTGGAAAGTTGGTTATCTATAGAACCCTAGCAAGAGATCCCATTAGTCAAACAACTAGAAAATAGGAATATATGGTAATGAAGGTCTTTAGAAAACAAAACAGAAGGGAGAGTAATATGGGGAGAAATTCTCATCTTTGGATTACTTTATCATTGCATGAAGGGATATGTGAGTTACCATTGTTAAAATACAGTTAATCCATCAAGAAGACATACTATGGTTTTTTTGTTACATGGTTAAGTTATTTTTATGCATAGGCCACAAATTGGCATTACATCCCTAAAGCAAACTTATATTGTGTCACTGCTGCAAGGATGCCAGACACAGACATATACTCTCTCATTTCACTTTTCGGGCAATACTTTTATTATGAGGATCATACAAAAATATCAATGTCCGTCAAAGTGACCAATTTTTAGATGCATGTTCATAGGGGAAGTGAAGGATCGCAGTTGTGTAGAAAATAATTACACCTGTTTTTCATCAATTGTCCATTAAGTTTTACAAATTGTAAACTCCTTTTTTCTGAACACCCTGACCTTAATTGCATCTCACAATCAATATATATCATGCTAAGCATTTGGTAGCAGAAAAATTGGTAGCATCATATATGGCTCTCCAGGATTGTAGAATCAAAGATGATAAGCGATGAGTTATAAAACAGGGTGGAGCCCCCCCACAAATAATGAAGAGGAGTGTGGATAATGAAATCCTAAAGCATCTTTTAACTAAAAGACAAATTGTTAATAAATTTTCAAACAGAAAAAAACCTCTACTTTACACTTTTAGGTGAACGTATCTATTCTTAATCATCATTATTGGACATCTAATAGTAAAGCAACATAACACCAACCTTTAGATAAAGGAGGGAGGATATGTGTGCGTGTAGAAAGGGAGAGAGAAAAAGCGAGATTCTTAATGGAACTGAGTACTGATTATTGAAACGGTTTGTTAGAGTGAATAAGGCTAATCTACTTAACACTTTATTGCCTCCACTTTTTCATCAGGAAATGAATGCCCCGCTTACCAAACTGTCTGATGCAGGCATAATTGCAAAAAGCAAATCATACCAAAATTATGGTTGGAGAGAGAAAGACTTCTAATCTAAGAACCTAAATATACTGCGTCATTAATTTATTAAACATTTCTTGACGGCGAGAGATGTACGTATAATTCAATAAATAAAAAGTAAAAGGTCCAGATCACCAAATAAATAAGTTAAAAAAAATACAAATTAAACAAAAATTATACCTGGCCACCGGACAAAAGCAAGACGGCCAATTTCCCGTCTGATATAGCTTTCAAACCCATCTTCCACCACCTCTCTCTCTCCCCCATGGTTCTCTCCTCAACCGTTGATACGCAACTCTCTGGCACTGGTTCTATGGCAGCCACCGGCAGTCCTGAAAAGTTACAAAGACTTGCTACGCAATTGGACTAAAAACGAAAATCTAAAACCGCAAAATAAGCATTTTTGGTCGCCGAAGGCAACTCCATTAGGGAAATATGTCAAATACGTAAATACACACACCTTGAGATCGAAGAGAACATCGAATGATCCGATCAATTCTCGAAAGATCCAGACTCTGAAGAATTCGAAAAAAATTAATCATCCATCAAAAACCAGAGTCACAGTATAAACTAACAAAATTAAATAACTTTGCTCAAATTTTGTTGGTGAATCTTGTAATCACTCGTTAGCAAGCAAAATCAAGCAAAATCAAAAGATTCGCGAGCAAAATTGAACACTTCTGCCCGTGAATCTTATAATCAGTTGTTAACAAGCAGAAGTACAAGGTTCACGAGCGGAATTGAATAGTTCCAGTCAAACAGCTCGTGAACTCCGTAGTCAGGGAGGAACAAGATTCGAGATAGAAAATGAACGATTAAAATAAGAGAAATTCATAAGAAACAAAAAATTTCAACAACTGAAATGAAAACACTCGTGCTCGCTATTGAGAGATCTAATGAAATAACCTCGATTTCCTTGACGAGGAGATGGCGCTCTTCCGGGGAGAGTTCGTCCCAGAGAGCAAAAGCGTCTTCTTGACCGTAATCCTTGAACCTTTCCAGCAACGCCTGCGGTGGTGCCGACATCTCTGGCGGTCCAAGCTGTGCGTTGCTGTCCACCGCCGTCACCACCATCGTCGGCTCCCTCATTATATCACCGTAAATCTAGAACTTGAAATCTGTAGATCTCTGTGTTTCAGATTTCAGTTGATTTTGTTCGTTCGTTGGTGCTGCTTATAGAGAAGGGGGGGAAACGCAACAGAGGAAGACAAAAATCCATCATTAACAAACCTACTGGTCGTTGAAATGACAACGATGCCCCTGACATTTGCTGTATTATTTTTTCTTAGAAAATCCTGCAAATGAGTCCTCAGACTTCTTCACCGTCAACAATTCAGGCTTACAGTTTTCTTATAGCAAACCAACCTCTTAATTTCTTAACTCGAAGAAATCAATCCATATGGGGAAATGAGAATCTCAAAAGTCCTTCATTATGAATAATTGAGAATTAATATTTTTTTTATAACAAATCAACCTCTTAACCTCTCAATTTGAAGAAATTTGTTCAAAACTAAAGCTGATGGTCATGCCATAAAAACTAGTGTAGTATTTACTTTTGCTTTTATAATTTATACATATGTAGAGTTTTTCTTATCTTTTTTTCAATGTGTAATCTTTAATTAAAAAAGTTTTATCTTTTACAACTTAAATTGTACTAAATCATAAAGTAGTGGCCATTAAATGAAAGGTAGTCATAATATCAAGGATACACCCCCATTCAATAATAAATGTTCTATAGTTTATGCTACATAACAATTTGTGTAATTACAAAGTTGAGTTGTATTTTATAGTAAGTGCTCAATTATTCTTGCTAAAAAACTACCATGGATTGAAGGAAAAAGAATTACTCTCTAGCAACATAAACAACATATTAACTGTTATGGGTTGCACGTGACCTTCACTACCTAATTTGACGTGACAACTTGAGGAGTTATTTTATGCAAAATGGATTTTAAGGGCTCTCTCCCAAAAAAAAAAACTTAAGGGCTCAACTCTTGGTGGCAAAGAAGTTTGAGGGCTTGTTTTGAAGTTTTTCCTTTTATGATTTTTAGGAATTATGAAGCTGCCTTCCAAGTTCTGTATGATGTCAAAATTTTAAAGCTCTGACCAAAGTTGGTGCTTTCTTACCCATGACTTGAGTTATTGAATTTTGGAATAGAAGTTATACCTTTTTTTTTTTTTTTTTTGAGCTGGGATAGAAAGAAAAGGACTAGTGCCATTGGAATTACAATTATGCTTTAATTTGATGGAATTTGATTGGACAATGTGAACAAAAACAAGAATGTCTTATACTAAGGGTAGGAATAATGGGTTATGTGAATTGTCAATACAATGCACTATGCAGCCGACAAATTTTTTTCTTATTGCTCCAATTGCGATAATTTGATTTGAAGGATCAATAAATTTATGCCAGAAACGAAAAAGGGTAGATTCATGTGATGGAGATGCTTGCTTTGATGCTCAACAACCATGGAAAGTAAAGAAAAAAAGGATGCTTTTACTCGGTGGATTTTTTTAATATATTGGATTAATCTATCAAAATGCTTCCCAAGTGGAGGAAGAATTGTACCCATTATTTTTCCTAACTAATGAAATTGATCCATTTGGGTTCATTAATAACAAAGACTTCTAGAAACCAATTGCATTAAATCCCAATTTATACTCATTCAGTCTATATTTTAGTTCTTACTTTGATTTTTTTATTCGCAATTTTAGATAATATTTTAGAGATAAGTGCATAACAGTTCAAATTTTATGAAATTTCAATATAAATATTCTATTCTTTAATAAATATTTTGAAAATTTAATTCATTGGATCAAATGCTCTATATATAAATCATATATATTAATTTAACATCAATAATTATTCAATCAATAAATTGTATTTTTCAACACATATTTAATAGTATTAAATGTTGTATAATTAATTAAATAATTAGATATATTCAATCAATTTGAAAATTGATATATATGATTTATATGAATTAAAACAATAAATTCAACTATTGATTTTTGAAACTATTCATTAGAGAATGATATTTTTAAATTAAAATTGTACAAAATCAATATTGACATGCAGTATTCTTATATTTTTATCTAACATATAAAGGACAATTAGAAACAACTTTTGTTGAATAGTCAAGCTAGAAGATTGTGAGGAATGGAGAAATGTTCAAATAAAGCCATAATAAGTTGTCTATCCATATTTGAACCAGTTTTCCTTTCAAACTAGGAAAATATATATGATATTATTTTACTTACTTGAATAACACAATTTTTGCACTGGGAATTTGATGGGGATGAAAGAGGGTCCGTAAAATGCATGCCCCACCAACATTGATCAATGTGTATGTCTAGTCCATATATCATCATCAAACTAATCATAATATACTTGCATCTCTATTATTACATATATAATAATAGGCCAAAGCTCCTATTTGCACCCTCCATTTATTTTTTTTCTGTGGTCAATACCTTCCAGAATTTTTTCTCCCTATTTACACCTTCCACTTTTCAAAACCCGTAAAAAACCCAACATTTTAACGCGCTGTCACGGTACCGTTACAAAATGTACTACGTGGCACTCAAAAATTGACGTAGCCAATATATGCCGTTAGTAATTCAACGTGGATGTCTTTTTTGATGATGTGGTTTACTTAAATAAAAAAATAAAAATAATAAAAAATTTTGCTCTGGGTTCCCGAACCCAGAGGAAGGAACCCGATCTAGGTTCCTTGTCGCAAGGAACCCAGAGTCGGGTTCCTCATGGGTTCCTCCCGAGGAACCCAGCTTGAACCCGCTAGGTTCCTTGTGAGGAACCCGATCTGGGTTCCTCG